GTACGCGTTTGGCCAATCAATGTCTACTTGCGTCACGATTAGTACCAGTTGTGCTGGTTAGACCCTGCTCCGGAGTAGGAGCTAATTTGGTTCTCGAAAAAGGCAGTCTTTTTCTAAAATCGCTCCCAGTTCCGGCGGTGCGAAAATGCCAAAAAGTGGGTAGTTCCACAATTAGTTCTGGTACTATGAAAAGGTTCCTGCGGTGCGAAAGGCCCTAATTCCAGAGCCATATTCAGTTTCTCCATATAGACTCGTGTGGCACTTTCGTAACAGTAGGATTTGAATATTTGTAATCCTCTGTATACAGATAAATCTTGAGTAGTTTCTAGTTTAAGCAAGAGCTAATGGAGGGCTTGTATTAATATAAGCCTTTAGATCTTTTTTCATGGAAGAACTTTTAACTTGACATTTTGAATATACTTGGGTTGTAGTAGCTGTTTATTCAAAATGATGGTTCCTCTACTTATCAGTTTTTGGGTTTCAGCAGTTATGTACAGTATAATATCAAGATAAATATTTAGCTTTTTGACAATTATTATTGTTATTAATAGATATATCACCTATTTACAGAAATCCTTCTTCATAATTCATAAACTTTCTCCATAAAAATCTGTTTTACCTGCAGCATGATGGTGATTTATAGGAATGAGGTGAGAAACATGCCCCCTTTTCCTCCACATCTGAGACCCCTCAGCCAACCTCAACTACATTATAGGTAAAACCCCTTTATAATAAATTAATCATGAACTCATAGTACACAATTTGAGAGATGGATACTGACATCTGCCTAATGTTTGGGAGAAGTCACAGAAAAGACCAGAAGTGCATTGTAGAGAACGTTAAATACATACTGAACAACTAGACAGGGCTTATGAGAAAATGTATTTAGTAAACTATGGTATGTATTGACTGTGGAGCCCTGACTAATTAGGCTAATAAAACTTGATTTTAATTATTATTTAATTATTTGTTTTAAGTATTTATTGAAAATTGAAATTTAGGTATCAGAAAAAAATTCAGTTTAAGTGTAAATGTGTGGCTCTGATAAAGTATATTTATCTGTATATCCCTCTATTTACATTAGTTAGATTTCTGTATTTCTCTTGGGTTCAGGGTTTCACTTGGCTGTGTCCATCCGGAAAATGGAAATCGCACTCTTGCCATCTACCTGCCATCCCATTCTCCCACACTTCTACCTATGAAACACACAAACAAAACAGCCTTGCACTCACACTCAAGGTATCCTGAGGGCAGAGGTGAGGAAGAGATCAGACATTGACAAGATACAAATCTTAACAGGTAAACAATAATTTTCATGCAATTTCATGCTCTCGACAGGCAATATTTAGTCGTGAAACACAGACATCACAGGGCATGTCACATTTTGGCATCTGCCTTCTTTTGCCTTCTTCAAGGTGCTAGATGAACTGACACCAAAATACTGTTGTGTGTAATTGACTCGCCGGGAGTTGGACTGACAGGCGATCTGAGCACATCATAATGCTGAATCTACCATTTTTGTCTGACAAACAAACCAGACAGGAAAGTAGATTAACATCGGTGGACTTTGAAATTGAAAATGGTGTGTATTGATGTCTTTCCGTGGTTGTAACAAGATACCTTCTGATGTTCATTCATGTTTATTTCATGCTATAGTTAAGAGGAAGAGATGATCGGTTTAAGTGCTGTTTGAACTGAGGCACTACAGCGATCTGTCAGGACACAGATTAAAGAGCCACAATATGGTATTTATGTTTGAATTTATTAAATAAATTTATCAAATCAAATTTCAAATCAAAATTTGAAAGCTGAGACTGTTTCACACCAAAAGTAACAGAAAAGTCTTGTCTGTCGGTGCATTTTCAGTGTATTCGTTCCTCTGCTATGAATCTTTCACTGCATGAGAACATGATGTGTGGTGTGAGTGCACCAAGGCGGGAGGGTTTTTGCGAAGGGTCAATTGGACACACAACCTTTACTGTCAGTAACAAAAGATATGGGGAGTTTTTCCCTTCCTATTTGAAAGCTGATTAGTCAGTTTATGTTTTTATCCTAGTTATTTTGCTACATACCATTTTTTGGTTAGTTTCGATATATAAATCTCATGCTCCTTTAGTATTGTGTTGTGGGATATTCTATTGTGCTCTCACCAGTGGTGGACGAAGTACACAAATCAAGTACTTGAGTAAAAGTACAGATACGTATAATAAAATATTACTCCAGTAAATGTAAAAGTACTCCTTTTTCAATTTTACTCAAGTGAAAGCATAAAAGTACTCGATTTTTTATGTACTTAAGTAAAAAAATACTGATAGATAGATTTATTTTGCTATTTTATATAGGCTACTTAATTTAATTTTATATTAGCACATATTTTTTATAATCCTACTGCTCAAAATACCTGGGATTTTCCCAAAATAACCACTATATGGAGTCAAGATATATTTTTGTTGTTGATATGGACTACGTTGACGAGAGTGATGTAGTAATGTTCACTATGAAGCTTACACTGCGAAGTACCTGAGAGAAAACAGATTTGACCATCTGATTTTCACCAGTAAGAAAAACGTGTTTTAAAACTTGTTGTTTTGCAGAACATCACAGTTATATATGACATGAGAATAAGGCCTGAAGTTAGGAAGAACATTTTAAGGAAAATATAATTATATTTTCATAATGATTTTTTTTTGCGAACCGATTTAACGGGTTCATTGAAAAGAATCAGTTTGTTCTTGAATCAGACACCGCTTCTGTGTGTCGGAGCATGTGATATATTATAAGGAGTAACGATATGTTTTATGAAATGTAGTGAAGTAAAAAGTACGATCTTATGCTTTGGAATGTAGTGAAGTAAAAGTTACTCAAAATAACGCTACTCTATAGTACAGATACTTGAAAAATGTACTTAAGTACAGTAACGAAGTAAAACTACTCCGTTACTGTCCACCACTGGCTCTCACAATGTAAAAAAGATTACAGACTAACAGGCTGTTGAGATTAATATAACTTTATGTACACCCATGCTTCAAATATAAATTTCTTTATTCACTATACTCTTACAGATAAAAAAATGCACTCATTGCCAGTTGGAGGATGACACCCCTAAAGGTAATTGTTTATACTTTTGAGAGAATTAAATGTGCAATCAATATTTACTAAGGTAAATCTAGCCCTTTTTAAAAAAATGTATACACATATTAGTAAACATTGTATTGGGTCACCTGTGAATAGGGTGTTCTACATAGGCATTGATAACCAAAAAAATGTCTCAGGCTATGTATGTAACCATGGTTCCCTGAGGCAAGGTAACGAGACACTGTGTCCTCTAGGGGTCGCTATGGGGGAACTCCTCGGCGTGACCCGTGTCTGAAGTATACATTTAAAACTCCAACACGTTGGCCGGCGACAGCCTATGATGTCACTACTGGTGTGACCACAGTATAAAGGGGCTCCGGGAGAATACGTCATCCGCTTCTTCGTCTGAAGCTTGCGTCCAAAGCACGACAAGGAAATAGAGTACGCAGTGTCTCGTTCCCTTCTCAGGGAACCATGGTTACACACATAACCTGAGACGGAACTTCGAACTGCGTCCGCTAGGGCTCGCTATGGGGAACGGTATACCCACGCCACCATGCTGAGGGGAGTGCATGCCAAGCACAAAGGCTAGTACTAAGTACCAACTTTATCAAAGCTTAAGGGAGTTGCCCCTAGGACGGTTCGACGGCTGTCAGTGACATTATCCCCTTCGGCCAAAGGCCTGAGTTACATACCCCAGAAAAGTACCTGTTAAAGGCCGGGCCTCCTGGACCCAGGGTAGAGCTCAAAGGCTTGGAATCAGAAGAAGAGATTCCTTTAAGGGGATACGACCAAGCGCCTAGGATAGTAACTAGGTCTTGGCCTGTCACCCAGGGGGTACCACTTGCTCTTCATGAGCTCGCTGAAGGAACGGTCTCAACAGACCCTTGGTAGCAACACCCTGTTCAAGACAGTATCACAGGGTATATAGGTAGAGTGGTGCCCAAGGTGAAACCAGGGCCTGACCGACACAAAGAAAGGGCACGAAGCCGCAGCGCGTAACCCCTACCATACAAGATTTTAGAAAGAACGCAGAATGCTTGATGTGCGTCCTTACCACAGCATGGATTTTAGAAAGTGCACAGAGACTTAGCATACACACTTACCATAACATGGATTTTAGGGATACCATTACTAAGGGGTCATAGAGGCTGTTACTAGACAGGCCTAGAGACCCCATGTGACCGTGGCACTCTGAGGGAGCAGTCCATAGCATACACAGAGTGCATATAGATGGAAATGGCGCACCCCATAGAACAATCCGTCATATGAGGAGTCACCAACTCATCATCATGGTCACAAGCCTGGTCTGGCTAGCAGTAAGTTACCTAGCTGAAGGAGCGTAGCACCCAGCTCTCAGCCGAGAGGGCATAGAGCATATCTCGCAAAGCATAAACTCCGGAGAGCTCACCAGAAGGAAAGATCCGCAGGTCCTGGGATTGCAGTGCTGTACTGGGGACCTGAGGACCAAGAAAGCTCACACAGAAGCCTAATAACTTGGCCACATGATCCAGGAGGCATGAAGCCGAGAACAGGGCTATCATCTAGTCTGGATCCAGTATCGACAAGTGAGGCCATCACCGTAATGAATCGATAGCAAGGGTACTGAGTCCAGCAGAGGGGGTGCTCGCCGAGGACCTACCCTAAACAAGGTCAGAGACACAACAGACAGGTCCCGGAAACACTGCAAAGAAGGCTAGCAGAAGGATCACACAACCACCAGCGAACAGATTTAAAATGGATCATACTCACCCACCATGGTTCTCTTTCTTACAGCGCATGAGCTCAGTTCAGGAGGCGAAGTCTGAAGAAGCCTCAGGTCCGGACCATCAGTAAGGTAGTTTCTATGCTTAGACATAGATCCTAACTAAAATATCCTAGGTCCAGCATAAGAGACTGCAATTGCAAGCGCAGGAGGAGTTGATGGTGGTTACAAGGGAATTAGGAAGGGGAAGATGAGGGCAGATGTTAAACCCCCCGAGTGAGGTGAGTAGATGTTTCTGGTCTTACTCTGGTCAGGACGAGAGCGTCGAGAACGCCTCGTCTGGATCACCTCCCTCAGTTCTTGCCTACCTCCCTTTGACTCGTACTTCCTCCTAGCCCCAACCGCAGGTGGGGGAGGGGCACGAGTCTTCTGTGCCCGTCTCTGATCCTTAGACCAGGATGGACCAGGACCACTGCATTGTTCGGGCTCAGACCTGGACCTTCGTGGAATGAAGGTTTTGAAGTCTGCTGAGCGCGCCTTCGCCCTCCCTAAACTTCTAAACCACCATCTCGACGGAGGTACCAAAAAGCTCGGAAGGCGAAACCGGAGCATCAAGGAGAAAGCCCTTCTCTTTCTTCCCGATATCTGCCAGGTTCACCCACAGATGTCTCTCCGTTACCACCATGGCCGCCATAGATCTGCCCCTAGCAGTGGCGGCCTGCTTAGTGGCATGGAGAGCAAGATCCGTGGTGCGGCGCAGCTCAGCTACCTCATCAGGGGAAAGACCCTGACCCTTATCCAGGTCTTTCAGCAGATCAGCCTGGAATGCCTGAAGCACCGGCATCATGTGCAACGAAGCGACAGCCTGACCTGCTGCTGATTATGCCCTGCCATTTAAGCGAGATGTATCCTGAAGGGGCTTTGATGGCAAGGAGGGAGCCTTGAGAGAGGATATCTCACCCACAGAGAGATAGCTAGCTAGCGTCTCTTCTATAGGGGGCATCCTCTCATAGCCGCTTTCACGCATCCCCTCAATGTTAGCATAACTTGTATGCTGGAACTTATGGATGCAGGAGGAAAACGGCCTCTTCCATTCCTTCTCGATCTCCATATGGAGATCAGGAAGAAATGGAAGGCTCACTTGAGCTGGGGGGCTATGGTCAGAGAGATAACACTTGTCGAGATGACCGTCTTCCACGGCAAGTCGAGCCTCGCCATGGCGCGTTCCATAACCTCCAACAGCTCATCATACACAGGGCAGGAGGATTGAGAGGGCTCAGTCTTGACTTCTTTGCCCTCCTCAGACATCTCCTGCTCTTCCTGGACAGAACCCAGCAGAGCACTAGCCGATGGATCAGATGATGTCAAGGAAATTGCATCATCATCCAGCAGCTTGCCCTCGTCCGCGGCCGATGAGCATCAGAGGGAAAGCCCCTCCTTTAACTCATCGGCCAGATCCGCCTGCAATCCCCATGAGCTCATTCTCCTCCGTGCCTCGGCAGAGGCGGGTCCTGAACCACGGGGAGTAGACAGCTGCCCCTCATTTCTCGAAAAGAGAGACAGTGGACGCAGATTGCCCCCTTGAGGACATCGCGTGCGTGCTCTTCGCCCAAACAAATGACGCAAAGATTGTGTGTGTCATCAGGTGTCAAATAGCGAGGACACGGATCAGCACACCTCTTAAACGTTTTACTAGTGCTCGCCATGACAAGGGAAGAAAGATCGTTCATACCACCGGAATGCACGCTTCAAACAAAACAGTCAATTGAAGATGAAGAAGAGGATGACGTATTCCCTTTATACTGTGGTCGCACCGGTAGTGACGTCATAGGCTGTCGCCGGCCAACGTGTTAGTTTTGAATGTATGCTTCAGACACGGGTCACGCTGAGGCGTTCCCTCATAGCGACCCCTAGAGGATGCAGTTCGAAGTTCCCTTGAGAGGGAACTTTATGTTCTGCTTTATTCAAAGTGATAGTTCTCAGTAAAGTCAAAGAAGACTGTTTTATCAACCAACACAGGCATTATCATTAGGATAAATGTGAAAAAAAAACTAATTGTGTGTTTTGTTTTTTAAATAAATGTAGCAATAAAACTTGCCTGCACTGTTTCTATGGAGCTGAAGGTGGAGCCTGACAGCACAATGGAAGGGGCTCGTCCTGTTCGTCACCTCATGACAACAGCAGATCTGTCTAATAAAATTTATTTTTCACAATCCAGGCTTCCTTTTGAACATTTTTGAAAACTTCTTCCGATGTTCTTTATATTCTAAAGATAATGATACTAATTAGCCCCAGCTTCCTGCTTCAATAGGAAATGAGTGTTTGTGCCAGACAACTTCATAGTGTCTTTGTGTTTGTGAGTGACAGGAAGCTATTGAGGAGTGAGGGCGAATGAGATGGGCAGCAAGTATATAGGAGTCAACTTGGAGTGTTTTGACTGGTTGCTTGTGCGATTTGGTACTTCTCCCTCACGTTCCTCCGTCTCTGGTGATCAGTGGTTACTTCTGATGTATTCTCTGCTGGAAACCAGCCCTTCTTTCCGTCAGAGAGACGCATGCCTTCATACCAACCTTGACGAGCGAAATGGAAATCAATTTTAGTTTTGAGAACTAAAAAAAATTAAGTGATTTTATTTTAACTGTACCTTCACTGGTTTTGCGCAGCATATTGAAGACATCAGATGGCTCCAAGCTTAGCTCGTCTGCCTGTTTTGCTACATACTGACTAACACACTGCACTTGAGGACAGTCTGATTGACACACACACACACACACACAATATCATTTTGTACGTTTTTTTTTTAACACAGACCCATTTTTCAGTTTGACAGCCACTGGTCACCATTCACTTTCATTGTATGGAAATCAACAGTTCTGCTAAAGAAGTCCTTTTGTGTTACGTGGAAAGATTTGAAATATTTGGGCGTACATATACAATAGCATGAAGGGGAATAAATGACCAATGATTTTATTTTTGGGAGAGCATTCCATTAAAAGACAATGCTACTGCATTATGTGATGTTTCCCACAGTGTCTGTGAGGTAATGAATGGAAAGCTCACCCCAGTCTTCATAAATCTTCTCCTCCCTGAGGGCTGCTTTAATCGATGGGAAAGCAGTCATCCACCTATGCATGTCTGACCTGGGCAGAGGGTGTTAAAAAGAATGAGAAAGGTCGGAATGACAAAAATTTTAAGGGTTAGTTCACCCAAAAATCTAAATTCTGTCATTAATTACCCTCAAGTCGTTTCAAACCCGTAAGACCTTCATTCATCTTCGGAACACAAATTAAGATCTTTTTGATGGAATCTGAGAGCTGTCTGACCCTGCATAGACAGCAACACAACTGAAATGTTCCCAAGTCCAGAAACGTAGCAAGGAGATCTGTAAAATAATCCATGTGACATGGACAAAATGTCAGTTATTTCTGTATTTGACTAGTATGAATAAAACTGCTGAGCTACATGCATCTTACTCTGTATTAGCCTTGAGCAAGTGTTCACAGGTGTTCCCCCGATGGTTTTCCAGGAGGGTCAAACAGAAACAGTGATCCAAACGTGGCCCAAGATTGTTTTCTGTGGTCTGTACCTGAACCAGAGACCGATGCGCATGATCGATCACCACAAAGCGGTCTGGACAGCCACTAAGAGGAGAGGGAGGCACGAAAGGACACCACATGAGGCAGAAGACTCACTGAACTCACTAGTGTGCCACAGTTTTTTGGGGGTGGGGGGTGGGGGTTAACACAATCTCAAAATAGTTCCACATTTTATTCTAGAACATAAAATACATCAGTAATACCCCACTCATGATTTATGTAATATGTAAGTTATCTGTGCTCTTGCAGATTATTTTAACTCAAAGTTTCCAACTGTAAATAAAGATGTTGAAGTCATATGACTATGGGGTAGTTCTTTATAGCCTAACATTAGCGTTTTATGTCTGGTAATGGCATTTAGGCTTTAAAATACATCAAACTTGTGAAGATTATCATGATGGGCATAAGATGTAAGAATTATAACTTTTACTGGTCAAAGAGCTTTTAAAACGTCAATGGGAAAATCCTATTGGGATTTTGTTGAGGGGTCCCAGCTTGATATTAAGTTCCAGGTTGGCCTACAAAAATGTCATCCCTACAAAGTCGTTTTGAAGGTTAATCTCAATAACCATATGCCTCTAACCTTTTCTTTTTGGTGAGAATGAGAAGGTCATTGAAGAGGAACATGTACACAGGGATACATTTGTTGCGGCTGCTGAAGAGAGACCCTCTTTTACATAGCTCTTGTAGTTCTCCCTGTTTTTCTAGATAGCGTGTTTTAGAAACAATTGGAATTGCCTGTCGAAATCAAGAAACACAAATAGGTAAAAACATAGAATATATTTTTGTTTGCATATTGAAATAATATACACTGATCAGCCACAATATTAAAACGACTGACAGGTGAAGTTTGATTAAATAGTTAACACAAAAGTGAACATTATAACTTAATGTGTTAATGCAAATAGAACAATGATTTTTATTGGTTCTTTTACACAGTACAAGTTGAGTTGCTATATGGCCCCTATATTGATACTTTGTCACATTAAATATTTTGAGGTCAGGGGATTATTATATATATTATATATATTTATTTATTTATTTATTTCTGTGGCATTAGGCTATACATTTGTTGAAAACTCTAATTTAAGGGTATTTTTCATTTGACTAGTTCAGTAATGCATTTACAGACCTTGAGCTTGTCAAACTCCAGTTTGTTTGAGATCTGAATTAGCTCCTCTATCTGTTTCATCTGCCCCACCTGTGTGTTTGCCTGCGTGATTAGCTAAAATTAAGAATGATGTGAAAATCAAGTGAAAATCAAAGCTGGATATGAATGACAGAATAAACGCAAATGGAGATATTTCACATTTATGAATCATATTCGAAAAGGTGGGGTAGATTTTGTGTTAGTTGCCCATTTTACAGTTATATTAATAAAGGGACATCAATAGGCATTATGTGAAGCTGTTATGAAATTACCAACATGACACATATGTTCCATTAAAACAAAAAAAGTCAACTTGAAGTTAAATATACCAGGGCAATACAACTCATAGCAGAATGAAGACAAATTTAAAGGAATACAATTTGGGGAGTTGGGGGCAATCTGACAATCTTTTATTATTCCTTTATTCTTTCACTGCTTATCAATATTTTATATATATTTTTCTGCAAAAAATTAAAGTGTATAGTGTAGTGCAACTAACATACAGATCCATGCAGAATTTCTAAATATCAAATAATTTAACCTTTTATGATAAGACAATGGTAGTTTAGGTTGTAAAAATGTATGAATTAATTCATATTTGTAAAACATTTAATGATATTAAAAAATATTTTTAAAGGATTTTGAAAATAGTGATCTCACTGATTCTTGAGACATGGGAAAAACATGTCCAGCAATTGTAACTGCTATTAGATTTAAACATTAAAATATTTTCAATTGTAAATGTTATGAGGGATTAACAATATAGAATGTATTTAACACAATTATCCCCTTTAATTGAATTTTATCAATATTATATCTAACAATATTATTATAATTTTTTATTTATTTTTTTACAAAATATGGATTTTGTAATGTTTCAGTATATATTTTAATCCATAAACAACCAAATTGAAGCTTTAAGATTATCTAATTTCTCATGCTTCACTTGTTTTGCTCAGTTAAAATCTCCATCGGGTTCTATAGGCCCCTCTAGTGGCTGTAACCATAAAATGCAATTTTATGTAATTTTTCCCCACCAGATGGCATCAGAGACACTCAGTGACTCAATTCCAAGGCCATCTGTTGGTTTTTGATGAAACAGGACTGAAATGGTCTTTCTTTGTTTTGTTTTTTTTGGTGAAATAATGTACAAAAACTGCTTATTTGCTTATATATTATTAAATATATCCAAAATAAAAGGTAAATATAATAAAAATCACCAAAAAATTATAGAAAAACCTACATAAAAAATTAGAAAAAAAATTAGAAAAATGCACCAATATAAGCTTTCTGGACCAAAAATAAAATTAAGTGTCATTTTTGGCCTTCGGGTCATGTTGACCCGCGAGGGACACTTTTGTTATAGGTTTGGGAGGGACGGAAAGATGAAAAAGAGCTTGTTTTATCAAAAGCAACACTTAATAATATCTCTTATCAAATGTTTTTCAATGACGTGTGTTTAATAAGGTTCCAAAGATTTTTGTCAACACTGTCAGACATTCATTAAAATGTAAAAAAAAAAAAATAATAAAATCAGGGTATATCAGGGGCAGCTGTCACTCTAATGAACCCCCTTGCCACAATTCACCTCTGCATCAATGTCAGACAGGCTATGGTAGGTTTTATAGTTTCAGAATATTTTAAATCCTAATGTTAATATTTCCTGTGTCACAACATATGTCAACACCATCTTCTAGTTTCTGAGGAAATTATTTGAAATGTTAAGATCATTTTATTCTCCTGAAGCAGGTTATATTAGCATCTAGCATCAACAGAGAAAACAAAATGGCTACATGAACTTCCTTTGTTTTGTGAAAGAAATGCCAAATTTGTCAACACCATCAGATGTCACCACCATAAGATTTTCTGTCTGACGGTGGTGACAGGCTAATGAAGGAGTTGACATTCATCATGAAGTCATCATATTTTTGTGGTTTTCAAGTCATTTTGAATTATATTAAATATAAAATAGTGTTTAATTTTTCTAATAATGTATAAATACTAAATGTACAGCATATAGGCCTATTGCTTTTGTGGATTAATAGTCATCACTTCTATAGAGTTAGAGTGGAGAGAACATAAGATTCAGGGAACATAAGGCTGAGGGAACACAAACTCTGTCAGGTCTATGTCACCTTCGTCAGAAGAATATTTTGATAATATTTGACTATGATATTTTATTTGTTGAGGTGTTACACCGAATTCTGTGACCCTAGTAGGCGCTGTTGTCACTGTTTGGCTTGAACACGGTCACACAGGCGGATTGGGTATGCAAACAGCGTAACTTCAAACACAGGTGAGATCTGTGACTGCAGGTTCATAAAATGTTCGCGCGTGAACGCGCATGGCGCCTGTGCACATTGTATGAGCGCGTCAATTCAGTCTGGTCGCGTCAATTCACTCTGGTAATGTGTAACCTCCTCTATTTTATAGCCTATCCAGGAATGAATTTTGGTCTAATATGAACAATACAGCTGTTACATTAAATAATTTGTATTTATTTATTCATTTTCTAATACTTTTAAATTTAGAAAAATCTACTTTTTTTTTAATTAATTTTTTTCCCCGTTTATGTTTTTAGCCTTGTTGTGTTGTTGTAGGCTACTGTAGATCCTCTTTAATGTTCTCCTGAATATGTTTGTACAATTTCTTCACTGCTTCTTAAATAAAAATTAAAGTGACTGTGTGGATTGTTTGTTTAGAAATGCTGGTTATTCAACAGGCTTATTAAACCAATTAAAAATGTCATGAGATTAAACACAATGCAGTTGTTTGCAGAGTAGCCTATTTTTGCATTTTGTATGCAACATACATGTTTAACAATGTTCATTAAGCTGATGTCACAAAAACAGGCTACTAATGTATTTAAAGGGGGCATCAGAATATGTGACCCCATTGTTATGTGTTTGAAAATTCCTGACACAACAATCAAACCATTTCAGGTAACTTATCTGTCCTTTCATGTACTTTTTTTATTTATTTATTTTTTTTACAACAAATGTAAAATAAATGTACAAACTTTGCATCTATAATCTATATACATATGAATAAATTAAAAATGTCATGAGATTAAACACAATGCAGTTGTTTGCAGAGTAGCCTATTTTTGCATTTTGTATGCAACATACATGTTTAACAATGTTCATTAAGCTGATGTCACAAAAACAGGCTACTAATGTATTTAAAGGGGGCATCAGAATATGTGACCCCATTGTTATGTGTTTGAAAATTCCTGAAACAACAATCAGACCATTTCAGGTAACTTATCTGTCCTTTTTTTTGTGTGGTTTTACCACAAATGTAAAATACATTTACAAACATTATATCTATAATCTATATACTGTACATACTCTGCATACATATAAATAAAACCAATGCTTTAATTTGCAATGAAATGCTTTATTTTTCAAACAATGTGAGGTAATATCAGGTTAACAGTACCTTTAACTTAAAAACTTTAGGCCTTTAGGCACCAGGGTTTTTTGGAAAAAATTCTGGATTTTGACATCAAGATTTCAAAAGCTTGTGGCTTGAAAGGGCTTAAAGATAGAGATCTACTGTAAATTAGAAAAATGTTGGGCATGACCAAAAGTTTATGTGGGGTGTAAATATACTAATCTAATTAGCATATTATGACGTCATCAGGGGCGGCCATCTTGAATTTCATAATATTCAGGAAATAATCAAACCATTTCAGGTAACTTATCTGTCCTTTCATGTACTTTTTTTATTTATTTATTTTTTTTACAACAAATGTAAAATAAATGTACAAACTTTGCATCTATAATCTATATACATATGAATAAAACCAATGCTTTAATTTGCAATGAAATGCTTTTTTTTTTTTTCAAACACTGTGAGGTAATGTCAGGTTAACAGTACCTTTAAAGGGGTCATATGACGTTGCTAAAAAAGAACATTATGTTGTGTATTTGGTGTAATGCAATGTGTTTAT